AACACCGCCATACTTATCAAAGGCCAACAATCGTAGTGTTTCTTGATATCAGGGCTGCCTTCGATTCGTTGGACAGAACTGTTCTCTGGGATTGTCTATTGAAGAAGGGTGTGCCTGAGAAGTTTATTAACATCCTAAAAGCCCTATACATAAACACCTCAGGCAGAGTGAGGGCATACAACCACCTTTCTCCGTTATTCCATTCGAGCAGTGGGGTTAGGCAGGGTTGCCCAATCTCACCATTCCTCTTCAACTTTGCCATCGATGACATTCTGGAAACAGCTCTGACGGATGTAAGTAATGGTGGTGTGGATCTGTTGCCTGGAGAAAGACTTCTCGACCTTGAGTATGCGGATGATATTGTCTTACTGTGCGAGAATGCCCAAGCTATGCAATCCGCACTTAATCAGTTGGCAATCAATGTCCGTAGGTATGGTATGTGCTTTGCACCTTCGAAGTGCAAAGTACTTCTACAAGACTGGCAGGATTCTAATCCTGTACTCACTCTGGATGGTGAGCAGATAGAAGTAGTCGAGAAGTTCGTGTATCTAGGTAGCTGCATAAGTGCTGGTGGTGGTGTGAGTGATGAGATCAATGCTCGTATAGTGAAAGCCAGAGCGGCTTATGCCAATCTGGGTCACCTTTGGCGCCTTCGTGATGTTAGTCTGGCTATAAAAGGTCGGATCTATAACGCGTCGGTGAGAGCAGTTTTGCTCTATGCTTGTGAAACCTGGCCTCTCCGAGCTGAGGATGTTAGACGACTCTCTGTGTTCGATCATCGCTGTCTCCGAAGGGTTGCTGACATCCAGTGGCAACACCATGTTAGTAATGCAGAGGTTCGGCATCGCGTGTTCGGGCACAGAGACGATAATGAAATTGGTGTCACCATCTTGAAACACCGACTTCGGTGGCTTGGACATGTTCTACAAATGTCATCCCAGAGGATTCATCGTCATGCATTATTTGCCGACTCTGGGACTGGTTGGAAAAAGCGGAGAGGTGGTCAGTGTGTGACATGGTGTCGTGGTATGGAAGCTGCAAAGGGCTAGCTTCTGTTGGTCCTTCACGACTCCCTGACTGGGGTCCGAGAGATTGTGTAACACAGTGGCTAGAGACGTTATCAGATATGGCTCAGAATAGAAGCCAGTAGCGATCGTGCTTTAACCTCTTACTTTCTTCATAAAAAGCGGTTGCTTCTTCCTTAACTGAAAGATTTCTTCTGATTGCACCTTTCCGTTTCCCCCACCATTGTTCTCTCTCTCTCCCTTTTTTTTTTATAATTCCCCACGTTCATTACTTTTTTTTTCTCTTTCCTCCTTCTCTTCAAATTATCATTGTTTTGTGTGGCGCATATATATTTGGTGCCCCTCTGTACCAATATTTATGTGTTCAAATAAATAAATAATAATAAATAAATTTGGTTTGGCCGCCCCTAACTTTCTTCCAACCATATCCAACACTAGTCAGCATTACACGTCGTGGTAATTGGTGTTCAGGAATACGTAACACGTGACCCAACCATCTCAGTCGATGAAGATTCATAACCTCATCAACTGATTTACCATCATTCCCTAATACTCTGTCTAACCTCACTATTACTTACCCGGTGATCCCAGCAGATGCGAGCAATATTTCTAAGGCACCTTTGGTCAAATAATAGTAACTTACGAGTATCTTTTACTCTTAAAGGCCATGTTTCGCAGCCGTATAGTAGAACGGAACGAACTGCCGCGCAGTATACTCGTCCCTTAATTGATAGACGGATATCTCGCCTACGCCATAGATGACGTAAGTTGGCAAAGGCCAAACGAGCTTTTCGAATCCGTGCTGAGATTTCATCAGACACCAACCCATTAGGGTTGACCAGACTTCCAAGATAAGTGACGTTGCCAATGCGTTCGACTACTTCACTCCCTATCCTTAGTTCAGGTGTTGACGCAGACCAGTCCTGAAGCAACAACTTGCATTTGGAGGGAGAGAAGCGCATCCCAAACATTCTGGCATTGTTGCTCAGTGCTACCAAAAGACTGCACTTCATCAGCGTCTTCACCAAACAGGACTATGTCGTCTGCGTATTCTAAGTCAATAAGTAGACCTCCTGGTAGGAGATCGACGCCCGAGAATTCAGTCGATGAAAGCGTTATTTCCATCAGTAGATCTGTGATGAAGTTAAACAAAAATGGAGAAAGTGGACAGCCTTGACGGAAACCAGTTGAGGTTGCAAAAGCAGATGACAGTTCGCCATAAGCTCTGACTCGACTAGTAGTGTTCGAGTAAAGAGCCTTCACAAGGTTTATGTACTTCTGAGGTACGCCTTTCAATGACAGACACTGTCACAGAACCTCTCGGTCTACCGAGTCAAACACAGCTTTAAAGTCAAGGAATACCACCATTGTCGGACGCCGATAAGTATGCCTGTGTTCTAGAACCTGACGAATGGTGAATATGTGGTCGATGCAGCCACGACCAGGTCTAAAGCCAGCCTGATTTTCACGTGTTTGCAGTTCACGAGTCTTAGTTAGACGTCCGATAATTATCGAGGCTAGTATTTTAGATACTATATTAGTCAAACTAATCCCTCTATGGTTGTCACAGGATGATTTTGACCCTTTCTTAAATATTGGAACGATAAGTGATTGTGACCAGTTAGATGGGATAACGTCTAACTCCCAGATTTTAGCTAAAATATTAGTCAACCTAGTCGCTAAAACTAGACCACCATCTTTAAAGACCTCTGGGGCCAATCCATCTGGACCAGCTGCCCTTCCTCGCTTCAGATTAACTATATCCTTTTGAACTTCAGCTAGAGATGAGGGACCTACTTCAATGTTCCATTCACACTGTCTGGGAATAGAGGTTAGTTGTAGAGTAGCTGAAGGCCAGCTAAACTGCTCCTTAAAGTGTTCCACCCATCGTTCTAAATGTCTGGACTGGGAGCAGATGAGTGTCGTTTTTTTCCGAAATGGTCTGACTTACACTTGACTTATTAATTCCAGTTTGTTTTATTAGTCTGTACAGTTGTCTTGTGTTCCCTATAGCCGCCGCCTTTTCCATGTCTTTTGCTTTCGTTGCCCACCACTGCTCACGATCGTTCCTTAGACTTTTGCCTAATCGAGATCTGATTTCTTTACGCTCTTCATCGTATTCAGAACCTGATGGGATGAGTTTGCGAGAATCCATCAGTGCAATAGACCTTGAAGAAATCCATTGGTTCTTTGTAACCGTGTGGTTTAAATCACTAGTAGATGTCACTGCTGTTTCCACAGCTGCTTGTATAACTTTCCAAGCAACGTCTGGGTCAGCCTCGTTTTCAGAACTACCTAAGTGTGACCTCAGTTGTTCCTGGAACCTACTTTGGCTTTCTCATTACTCAATTCGGTTCTAATGAGTCTTTTTTGTGTGGCTTTTTTGCGTCCAGTGAGGCGCAAGCAGATGCGTGCTCGTATTAGGGCATGGTCGGAGTCCAAGCAGGAACTCCAGAATGAGCGACAATCTACTATTGACCCTCTCCAACGATGACTGATGGCAATATGGTCTATTTGAGTCCATCGTTGGTTTGGTGCAGGGGGTCGCCATGTTAGACGATGTCTCTCCTTATGCTTAAAATTTGTGTTTGATAAAAATAAACGATTGTCTGAGCACAGTTGCAGCAGACAATCATTATTATCTGTTCTCGGTGCCGGAATACTAAAATACCCATCTAAATGTCTTTTTGTTTCGTTTAAGCTACCTACCTGGGCATTAAAGTCTGAACGTTTAGCTTTCTGAAGAAGTTCAGACAGCTTTCTGTAAAATCCATCTTTCACTTCATCCGAACTGCAGTCAGTGGGAGCATAGGCAGAAACGACGAAAAGGCAACGACGTGTGTCCCTATCCTTCCGAGTTCTTACCGAGCCGTTTAGCCGAACAGCTCATAGACGACTGTTTACGGGGATCCACTCTAATAGCGCTTGTTCCGCCCTCATGCTAAGTGCTATGTCTACACCTGCCAGTCCACAAGAACTAGCCATCGGATCGCCAGATACACGGAGGGTGTATCTCGTCGGCTCTCCGTTTTGCCGAGTTGAGGTCAAGTGAATGACCACACTAGGATCCTGTATGCGTGTTTCGGAGACACAGCATACATCAATGGTACGAGATTCTAAGGTTTTAGCCAAGGAAGCCTGCTGACCGATTTGGCATAGTGTGCGTACGTTGAAGGCTCCAATGTGTAGTTTGGAGCGGGGTTTCAGTAGACCTGGGACAGTTTTGCGCACAAGAATCGTTGGCTGTGGTGACACTTGAGGAGGAAGCCGAAAGAGGAAGTTTAGATTTGAAAGTCGATGTAGGAGGAATAAGAGGAATTGAAGAGGGAGGTTGATTATGACCGTTGTTGCTACCTTGACGTGGTGGTCGGGCTTGCCTATCGTGATGAAGCAACTGATCTGTACTGGCTGGAACAACCGTTCCTCAAGGTCCTACCATGCCAGACAGGTCGGTCGAAGAGCGGTAAGACTAAAAGCAACAAAACCGAGGTCCGAAGGCGAAGTCGTACTGCTGACTGTACAGAGGTGTGACAGCAGTAAGGTGTTTCCTTCAGCCAGTTTGAATGGCGCACGTGGTTTCATAGAAATTAACCCTACAAATTTTCCCTACATTGTTAGTTTATCGTGCTTCAAGTAAAGCAGAATGTATTACGAGAAATAATCCTTCTACTAAACATTATGTTACACGATTATTTTATACAATTAATTTTTGAATATTTCATGTTACTATTTTCTTCTAGATAGTCAGCAGCACGGAAGGAAATACGTTGCTTCATTAAAAAAAATTTAAAAAGAACTTATTAAAGAAATCTTTCATAATACTGTCATTTACTAAAGTTATAACAGTTGTGTAATTATTTAACGCCTATAGTATGTTTTCTAATTGTCTTCTTTTTTCGAATAGCAGATAATTGATGTATCAAAGTATACACATATCACGCTTCTAATCACTAGTGCTGAATTGTAACATTAAGAATGAGTGTGCCAAAACATGAGAAAGTTCAACTAACAGTATACGAAGCAGATGTAGTTAAATTAATTTTGGAATTTTTGGAAAAACGTGATCTAGCCATCTCTATGTTAGCCCTAGAACGAGAAACTGGACAAGTAAATGGACCATTCAATGAAGATGTACTATTCTTTCGTCAATTAATTTTGGAAGGTCATGTAAGTTAATCCCTGAAATATGTTGACCAGTTTAAGCCCCGATTGTGCAATTACGATACCACCCTTGCTGGGTGAACTCAGTCAAGTCTTACTATTTTACCGACTCAATAAAAATTATCTAATACTTGAGTTCAATGGAAAAACCAATCTTGATGATTAGTGGGATAGTCCCCCAAATTGTTTGTGAACAACTCAGTCAGAACTAATGTTCCAGTGACTAAGTACTTTGTAGTTATTCGGTCGTAACACCTAGCAGATACCTGTTTGAAAGCTACATAGTTACAATATCCATCCTACCATCGAGTTGTCAAAGTGGTGAAACTAAATCTACCATTGAATCACACCTGCAACCAAGCAACGTAAACATATCGATCAGTACCTATAGGTAGTTAGTTCAGTATTTATCTCATAAGTGGGATAAAACCTGGTTATGTTAAATGTGTGCTAGTGATTGGGAAGAAGAATACTTCTTCTTAGGGAACCTGAACAGGAAACTGGATTGATGTTAATATCTCCATCAGTCCGAGAGCTTCACCTCAGAGCTCATTAGATGATTGCTTGGTATCGGTGACTTGTGGTCTTCCTAGGGAAATTTGTTTACAGTTTTGTATTGTTGGCTCTATACTTTGTTATCTTCGGCAGCAGTATCAAAAGAAAATAATAATTCTCTGTTTTAGAGACCGACCAATTTGTATGTCTACTTAATTCTGTTAAAAATGTGACATTATTGAGGATATTAGTTATACGTAGAAAACATTTTACTGCTTCGATATCCTGTTAGAGTCAACAGTACAACCTCTCCTTTGGATTTATAATTTCCCATTTTGATTTTACAGCTTGACAAACAGAGCTCAACTTGATAAGACCACCAGGAATTCGTAATCCACTCATTAAAACTCAACTAGATTATCATGACAAGTAAGCGTGACTTCTACATCCAATTAGCATCTATAATCAGTTGATACTAAAATCACTGTTTTGTATAAGAAACGTACTAAACTAGCACAGAAAAAGTTTAATGATTCATGTAATTTAAAACATATCTCTTAAATCTCAACCCTACCTTTCGGAAGTCACTGTTTTGAGAGTATCTAAGAAAAATATACTGTAATAAATATATAACCATAGGTTTCATGTTTAATTAATAAAAATACCATTCTCAAGTAAATATAAATATAGACAATATTAAAATTTGTCAACAATACAATAATTAGTTAAGTAATAAGTAAAATGAATTAATAATTAATTATCATACCTCTATGACTACATCATCTTACTTAATACATGAATTACATTTTTCTGAAGTGAGTCATTATGATGACATGAAATTATTTTATTTTTAATCCTGCATCATTCAGTTAATATCTCAAAGAATTTTACTTAAATCACCGTTAAACGATACTAATAACTGATAATTTGGTTACATAATATTAACATTTTCTTTAAAAAAATACATTTGATAAAATTATCTAAATAAGAGCCATAATGGAGGGAATCAGTGAATCTAGGAAAAGCTTGAATAGGTAGATGAATGTCATGCTACATTATGACCATTTGACTTCTGCTTCAACCACCAATCAATTTATATTAGTATAAGCTGTCTTTAAGCATATGAGTAATACTTAGAGAATAATTAAAATAACCCACAGTGTCATTGAATAACAAAAAGAGAATTCAGCGAAGAAAATTTTCTTTTCGACGAAATCATTTGTCCAACCTCTCATCCTTCCTTGGCCCTAATTCCCTTAATAAGTGTTATTATTATTATTAATTATTAATTATTATTAATACCTTATACAAGTTTTCATGATTATTATTCAATTTATTATTATGACCTTTGTGTTTGTCGCTTTTCTTCATATCTGTCAATTGGACTATTATCTGACCTATAAACGATTTTCTTCCTTACCCCTTGATTAGTACGTAACCCCATTTGTTATTTTCCTCGAATCCATTTTGGTGATGCAAAATTTTTTCTATCCTCCAATAGACATAAATTTTCCATGTATACGAATGTACAGCTTAAGTAAATGATTTCGTCGAAAAGAAAACTTAATGGATTAGCTTTTGAAATGAATGATGTAATGTATCACAATTTGCCAATCAAATTCCAACTGAGATAGAGAAAGATATTACACATTAGACAGTGAACTAATTGTTTTTCAACTGTTTTATTAAAATGTCGTACATGTGATAAGGGATATACTAGTCAATTATTATAGGCTATACACATACAACGTTCTTAATACCTATTAAGAAATAAAAACATTTTCACTGCAGATAATTTTTTCTCACATATAATTTAATTAGGTTTATAACAACATGCACCAACATTTCACAACATATTATATGCATTAATATACTGTGTTAATTATGTTGGTATCCCTCAGAAATTAGACATTTTAATATTAAATATTTAGATAATACCACTAACCCACAGGTAATTGGCCTCTCATTTTATATTTTCTATACATAGTTGAATAATCTAATTTAAGTGTTAACCACCACTGATTTTCAATTTTTTCTAATAGATGCGCGCTAAATCTTCAGTTCACAAAACGCTATATACTTGAAATGGATGGAGTGTAGTAATAAATTTTCTGTATACAACATTAAACTACTTGATTACATAAACAATATTTCTATTTTATCATCTAGTGTTTATACTCTGAGTGATCCAAAACCAACATTTTTTCATTCTATAAATCATTCTAAAACATTATTTTGGTTTTATATTTGGATTGGGTAATAGCGATATCTATATAGTTCTCAGCTTTCATGTAGGATTATAAACTTCTAACTTTCCCACTTGTGTTAAAACAAAGTAATCAAACGAAATATTATATAAATAACCAATAAAACAGATGGAGTAGCTGTTAACAGCGAATTGATATCTCTGAATATTATGAGATAGTTACGTGTTTGTCAATTTTCATTTAACATTATTTCTTATGTGAGTTCCGTAGTCCCTGACTCAAGTGTATGCTCGCGGTTCAAAAATTTGGAATGATGACGTAATATACGAATAAGTTCAGATGGAATATATATATATATATGGGGAATACCGATTGTTTGTGAAATATGTACACTTTGCCTTCAGTTTTCCATTTGTATCTATTGTGTGTTCCGCAACTCACGCTAGTTGTAGACTGTTTTCAGTAGCTTCTCTTCTGGTTTTACAAGTATTCTTAACTCACCGTGCTTTTCGCTTTCTGAGACTCCTGTCTTCGGCTGTTGACTCTAGCAACTGAGGCTCTCCGTTGCATGCTATTTATAAGCTATCTTGTAAGTAATTTCCATCACAATAATAATACGAAAACAATTCTGTAACTTTCATTTTTATACTTGGTTAATTACTTATTATCAGATAAATAACTCAATTTTGTTTGTTAATTGCTTTATAAACGAATGGTAGTCTAAATTCCTTATTATGTGGTCCTGTATTCTGAATGTTTCTTTTTTTAGTTATGATTTAGAAATAATTTCTATGAGCTAATTATCAGTTTGATTATCCTGATTTGTACGCAATAAGTATATTAATGTATTAAGTTGTTATAACAATTATTTCCTCATTTTCTGTTGTTGTAGTGGAATGATGCACTTGACTATTTGGAACCATTACGAGGTCCACCTGTTGAGTTAGATCTTAGAAAGCCCCGATTTTTATTATTAAAACATAAGTATCTAGAATTATTGTGTCTACGTGATGTAACTAACTTGGATGGGACTACCGGTGTTAGTGTTAACGGAAATGATATAGATCATGGTGTTGAACAGGTTAGTTTGTGTGTTGCAAGATTGTGTTTCACCTTACTAGAACCTAAAATCAATTTGAAGTTATATAATTAAATGTTATCGGTTCACTTAATATAGTTATGTTATTCAATGCACTATTATCCTGTCCTACATCCGTATACTTTTTTGTAAACTTGTCATGACTTGTGACCCTGTGTGCCCTGTTATTGTATAACGCAACGATACCACCAATTAGAGAGCAGCGAATTATCGATCGAACCAGTGACGCAATAAACACGCGCGAGCAGCCTAGAGTCCTGATTGGTCTCGCTTTCCGCCTAGCCCAGCCAGTTGAGTCCAGAACACCAATCTCAGCCTCGGCAATATGAATCATTTATTTCAAACATACTCTGTTTATATACCAATCAAACGGACCACAACGTACCATAAAATAGAAAATAACATTTGTAAAATATTTGGCCAAAAGTGACTGTGAATGAGGGAGGTAGTAATTAACAGACAGGGCATAGTTCAAGAATGGTAAATCGTATAATAATAGGTCATAAGTCAAAATAAAACTCATAATAAAAGGGACATGAATGTGAACAGTTTAGTTACATAACAACTATACGACGTAAATATACTCATAGTATTGGTCCATAACTGGATCCCAAAAATTACCATTCATTATTCTTATCGGGAACTCCGCCTGTTGCTCTCCTAAAGTTACTACTGGTCCCAAGCCCGGATAAAGGAGGAGGGTTTGGGCATGGGGTTAGCGTCCCCATCCCGTAGAAAACACTCGCTAAAAAACGCTAACCAGAAAAAAATAACTCATACCATTTAAACTTTGCCCTGGGATTTAAAAGGTCTTCATTTAGAAAAAATATGACGCCTCCGGGTGAAAGCCGAGTTCCTTCGGATGCCATGAGGCCGATGCCCCTTCTAACAACCAGAGCAACAATTTTTATAGGTACATGGAACGTCCGGACAATGTGGGAGACCGGGAAGACCAGTCAAATGGCAACGGAAATGAGGAGATACAACTTGGCAGTACTGGGAATCAGCGAAACCCATTGGACCCAAGCTGAACAACAAAGGCTAAATACGGGAGAGATGCTGTGATACTTCTGTCACGAAGAGGAAAATGCCCCACACATTCAGGGAGTTGCTCTAATGCTGTCCAAAGCATCATTCAAAACAAAGAAGGAGGGGATCACAATGAACATTATCCAATGTTATGCACCCACCAATGATAGCAACGACAACATTAAAGATCAATTCTATGAGAGGCTGCAATGAATCAGAGAAGTGTCCAAGAAAGGACCTCACCATTCTGATGGGAGATCTAAACGCCAAAGTCGGAAGAGACAACACCGGATATGAAGATATCATGGGACCTCATGGACTGGGAGAGAGGAACGAAAACGGGGAAATATTTGTAAATCTGTCTGCATTCAACAAATTGGTCATAGGCGGCACAATATTTCCACACAAGCGTATACACAAAGCTACATGGATCTCACCGGAGCACACCACAGAGATCCAGATAGATCATATTTGCATCAATAAAAAGTTCCGAAGGACAATATAAGATGTGAGAACCAGGAGAGGAGCGGATATAACTTCAGATCACGACCTGGTTGTGGCCAATTTAAAACCGAAGCTAAAGAAGAACTGGACAACTGGACAAACAGCGCTGCAAAGGTTCAATACAGCCTTCCTTCGAGATACTGACAAACTCAATGAATTCAAGATAGCCCTCAACAACAGGTTTCAAGCCCTACAGGACCTACTGAAGGAAGAAGAAACTACTATGGAGGATAACTGAAAAGGTATCAAAGAAGCAATAACTTCAACGTGTCAAGAGGTTCTTGGCCCCAAGAAGCATCATCACAAGGAATGGATTTCTATAGAAACACTGGACAGGATCAAAAAAAGGAAGAACAAGAAGACGGCAATTAACAATAGTCGAACACGATCAGAGAAAGTCCAAGCACAAGCTGAGTACATAGAAGCAAACAAGCAAATGAAGAAGAGCATTAGAGCCGACAAGCAGAAATACGTGGAAGAACTAGCAATGACGGCGGAGAAAGCTGCAAGAGAAGGAAATATGAAACAGCTTTACGATACAACGAAGAAACTAGCAGGGAAATATAGTAAACCAGAGAGACCAGTCAAAGACAAAGAAGGAAGACCGATCACTGAGATTCAGCAACAGCGGAACAGTTCGGCAGAGTACTTCGAGGAACTCCTGAATAGGCCGGCTTCAATAAATCCACCGCACATCGAAGCAGCACACAGATCTTCCTATAGATGTCAATCCACCAACGACGGAACAAATCAGAATGGCCATCAGACAAATCAAGAGCGGGAAAGCAACAGGACCCGACAATATACCAACTGAAGCACTGAAGTCAGACATCGAAGTAACTACGAACATGCTTCATCCTCTATTCAAGAAGATTTGGGAAGAGGAACAAGTGCCGATGGACTGGAAGGAAGGACACCTCATCAAGATTCCAAAGAAAGGAGATCTGAGCAAGTGTGAAAGTTACAGAGGCATTACACTACTGTCAATACCAGGAAAAGTCTTTAACAGAGTGTTAATGAACAGGATGAAAGACACAGTAGATGCTCAACTTCGAGATCAACAAGCTGGATTCCGTAAGGACTGGTCGTGCACAGACCAGACTGCGACACTACGGATCATCGTCGAACAATCAATTGAGTGGAACTCGTCACTATACATCAACTTCATTGATTATGAGAAGGCATTCGACAGTGTAGATAGGAGAACGTTATGGAAAATTCTTCGACACTACGGAGTTTCTGAGAAGATTGTCAACATTATCCGGAACTCATACGACGGACTACAGTGCAAAGTAGTGCGTGGATGACAGCTGACAGATGCATTCCAAGTAAGGACCGGAGTCAGAGAAGGCTGTTTACTCTCTCCCTTCCTCTTTCTTCTGGTGGTTGACTGGATTATGAAGACTTCGACATCTGAGGGAAAACATGGCATGCAATGGACAGCTCAGAACCAATTAGACGATTTCGACTTCGCAGATGACCTAGCCCTCCTATCCAATACACACGAACAAATGCAGACAAAGATAGCCAGCATAGCAGCAGTCTCTTCATCAGTAGGCCTCGAAATACACAAAGGGAAAACCAAGGTCCTCAAATACCACACAGAGAACAGCAATCCAATCACACGTGTTGACGAAACTCTGGATGATGTGGAATCCTTCACATACCTGGAAAGCATCGTTGACAAGCAAGGAGGTTCAAATGCAGACGTAAAGGCGAGGATTGGCAAAGCAAGGACAGCACTCCTTCAATTGAAGAATATATGGAACTCAAAACAACTTTCAACCAATATCAAAGTCAGAATCTTCAATACGAACGTCAAGGCAGTTCTACTGTACGGAGCTGAAACTTGGAGAACTACAACAACCACCATGAAGAAGGTACAAGCATTTATCAGTAGCTGTCTACTCAAGATACTCAACATCCATTGGCCGGATACCATCAGCAACAGCCTTTTGTGGGAGAGAACCAACCAGCTTCCAGCGGAAGAAGAAATTAGGAAAACACGATGGAAATGGATAGGACATACATTGAGGAAATCATCAAACTGCATTACGAGACAAGCGCTAACTTGGAATCCTGGAAGAAGCGGAAAAGAGGAAGGCCAATAACACATTACGTCGGGAAATAGAAGCGGATATGAAAGGGATGAATAAGAACTGGAAAGAGCTTGAAAGGATTGCCCAGGACAGGGTTGGATGGAGAATGCTGGTGAGCGGCCTATGCTCCTTCACGAGGAGTAACAGGCGAAAGTAAGTAAGTAATTCTTATCGGAATATAACAAAACTACAAACTAATTACATTGAGCTAATCTAATTTTTACTTGATCAGTTAACATGGATTCATTAAAAATGCTCCTGAGACTACCTTTTTTAACAATAATGGTTACTTTATACAATTTCTGTAGTTTTGCAAGCATTATTGAGTTGTTTTTTATACGTTTTGTTTATCTTTATTTGAATAAATAAGATTTTAAGAGGAATGCATAAAAACCCCACAGTAGATTAGTTATCCATTTACAATATTCATTGTTCTCTTATAAATAATACATTACTCTATTAATGTTTTTGATATTCTCTAAAAAACGACAACAGGTTATTGATTGTTTGAAACAGTTAGAACCTGAATGTGAAACTCAAGCAGAGTATCGTGATTTAACTCTTTTGTTAACTTTAACACGATTAGACCAACATCCTGATTATCGTTATTGGAATCCAAGTTTAGGCCGTTTACAATGCTTTAATCAGGTTGGTTTTAATTATACTGATAAATAATTATATTAAATCTCTCCTCGCCCATCCCTTCACTCATCTCTCTTCTGCTGCCTTAAGCATTATTTTCAGTTTGTGTAAATAAAAACTGGCTGATACTTAAGATTTATGCTCAAACAGTACTAAAATAGCATAGTTGACGTTGTTTATTCTTTACTACTCAGTAACAACCACATTTCTATGCATATTGTTTAGCCTATAGTTAGAAAAACTAGTTTCTATACCCTTTTTACGTCACATTTTGGCTTGAATGGTTAGTTGGAAAGATTGCTTATCACTTCATTTCAATGTAACGTGAGACACCAGCATGTTTATAACCGCTAGTCTAATAATTGTTATGGAATAAAAAAGCTAAATATTTATCAAATAGTTAGAAATACATGTTCAACCATTTTAAAAAATCACACTAGTTAATGCTGTCTACGTAAAACTGTTGAAGAAGGCAGCGGGAAAAAGGCAAAATAAAACGGTTAACTGCGTAGTAATTATCGTTATATAGACTATGTGTAACAACAGTCAACCAGCGGTATCCATTAAAATATACTAGGAGTGATGTATGGTAGCAGCAGTACTCTCAAAGATATCAAATAATTATACACATAAATCATGCGTATGTATGTATATATACAACATGCTAGAGCGTAGCAGACAATGATATGTGAGTGGTGGTTACCTCGGCTAGGTGAATAATTCTCGTACTCACAATCTGCTATCCACATTTGCATTTCTCACTTTCAAGTGTCCTTAAGATAGCCTGTGATCTATTTGAAATCGTCTGGTCTATCAACGGTATTTTGTGTAAGCCTTTTCATTTTGTGTATGTAGAGTAGCAATTTTTTAACTTCTATCATTTCTGTTTTGTTTGGGTAGCTCGCAATAGTATCTTTCATTTCTAAATAAATATCAGGTTCGAAACTTTTTCGATTTCCTTCTTTATTACTAAGCTATATTAGGTGCAAGCAAAGATTCTACAACATCAAAATAATAGCTAAAAATTATTGCGTACTTACTTACGCCTGCTACCCCTCATAGAGCATAAGCCGCCCACCAGGATTCTCCAACCAACTCTGTCCTGGGCTCTCTTTTCTAGTTATTACCAAATGGTATTCATTTTTTTAAATATCTCTCCAATTTCCGACGCAATGTGTTCTCTAGTCTCCCACTTTTCCTCTTGTATTGAGTGTTCCAAGAACACAGAGCTAATGAAATAGCTAAGAATAACGTCATTTGAGATTACTCAGCATGCAAGTAAAATCATAGATTTAAAAGTATTAGAAATGATGTAAAATGAGGGACAATGCATGAAGCGAGTTACCAGTGTTATTTTTTTGGTACATAAAGCTGTGTATTGAGACGCTTAAGCTCTAATTTTAATTTTTTTAAAAAAGACTAGTGAGTTTCCTTTCTATTGTTTTTGTTTCTTTTATTATTTCTCTTTCTCTTTGAAAACATTTCAATTTAGATCTATCCGCTCTTGCAACCATTTATTCAACTTAGTAAACATTCACCTAGTGGCCAGGCATCAACTGATGAAAATGCTCGTGGTGACCGACTTTTACGATTACTTGTTAAAGGTTTACTATACGAAGCATGTGTAGATTACTGTGCTCTTATGGCAACAGAACAGAAAGCTCAAATGCAGATAACTGGAATGCTTGGAGGTTTGTATATTTGTTGACAAAAAAGTTTGGTCATCAGTAAATGATAATTAGTGGTATCAGATGACGACAAATAGAATGAGGTTGAAAGTATATTACTGGATGCCATTCCATAGGTTCTAATGGTTAGACGTTCTTCACGAGAACTGAAGGTCCTGGGTTCAATCCTTAGTAGAGTTATAGATTCACACTGCTTGGGAGTCCCATAATACAGTGAAGCAGCTGTCTGGTGCTCCCTGGTTTTCAATGATACCGTAAATGAGATCAACTTATGACGAATAATATCTACAAATTAAACCAGTCTCAACAAAATCCGTTTACTTAAATTTCCAATAAGTATAGTGATGATTACGGAGCTTTATATTTTGCGTTCAGTATTAGTCTTTCAACTAGCGTTTCTCCAGTTCTAACTCTACTGCACCTCATATATGGGTATTTGTTAGATAAAATATTTATTCTTCATTCAACAACTATTTTTATTCCAGCTGGGGAAGATCCAATTCAAATGTGTTCAAAAACGTTTTAGAATAATATGCTGTTGTCAAAAAATACCTGCTCAACAGTAGATATTCACATTGACTTATCAATGAATATAAAAATAACGATGTTAAAAAATATATCCTGTTTATGTTTACATTGGTTTCAAAAGTAGTGAGGATTTTATTCATTTATTTATTTATTTTTGATGACAAATGATGTCCAACACAATTAGATTATATGCACTCATAAACTAAAAAAATTCTCTTCTTTTAAACTTGTCCTAGTGACAACAAAAAGTATTCGATCTAAATGCAGCTAGGCTGACATCTGTAATATCTTCATAAAGAATATAAGCTACTTTTTAAATGTAAGAATCATTATTGAATCATGATATTCAATATTGTAGCTATCGTGGATCATATGTCGCCGGGACCTATATGATCTTATTAAAAGTGATTATCCTTAGATATCAGCGACATAATGTAGAGTTTTATCAGACGCGTTCATCTGTTAGTCAACATGTGCATAAGATAATTAGACTTTGATTTTCTAGGCTTGTGAATGATCTACAAAACTATAATCTCACTGTCATTCACCCTTTAAATGGATTTTATTCACGATTATTTAGTGTCAAATTCTTTATGTATAAGTGTGTACAAAGAGACTTTGTTTATAACGCCTATTACATCAATAAACTCGGATTTGATGAGTAGTCATCACTAGACTACACCAATCATCCCAAGTCATGCAATCCAGCGCGATCCAAACTATTCATAGATTATTCCATTGTTTTGACTCAAACATAAGATCGAACTGCTCATAGCACAATTTTATACACTAACCGTTTCATACCTCCATTAGCTCCATAATAGTACCTAAGGACATCCGGTTTGACAGCTAGATGAGTCGACCGTAGAATAAATGTTACGCTAAAAACGACCTGTCTACCTGTTAAACTAGTCACTATCTATTGAAGAGGCTCTATGTGATAATCAAATCCAATAACTCATTTTTTATGTCATTACCAACTGTGAAAACTGAAGTACCTATCTTAAAACTAAAATGTATTGTTCATCCCAAAACATCTAGAACTCAAAAGTGCATAAATCTTCGACGGATGGATTTGTCAATTGCTTATTTAATAGCAAGACATCATTTCAAAGTCTTAAAATTCCTAGTGTAACCAAGTTGATTCAAATTCGTTTGTTCGTTTATCATGTTCGTAACTGTTGAACAACTAACGTCTAACTTTCGCAGTCATCTTAATGATAATTTCTTGCATAATTTGTCCTCTTTACTTATTGAATATATTTTTTGTCCTCATAATTACTATTTTGTTATGTTTTATTTCTATAGAACGCACTTTTAACCGTCCTTCTTTGTTAAACAATTTTATTATTCATAAACATGATCACTTCAACTACTTATATCTACATTTTGATTCTGACTACATCATAATTATTATTCTCTTTCCCATTCAGGTCAATATTTTTTGTCACATTGATTTCTATTAGATTGTAAGCAACTATAGAACGACACATTGACGCAAAGTGGAAACATATTCAATTTTGTACTAAAATTGTTGATTATTCTTGAACCTTTCATATTTTTTGTTTATTTTAAATGATTATTCTCATCACACACCAACGTTAGGGGGAAAACGATTGAAATCCAGATATCGTTGAATAACAAGTTTCCTTCTAGGATTGTCAAACTACGGTATTATTATCACTTTGGATTGCGATCTTATGAGTTGGGTCATCGATACGCACTATTTGTAAGAAGTTCCAAGTTGCCTAAAATATTTTCTAATACCTCTTGATATTATGTAAGAGTTGATTGAAAGGAGTAATCAAACCAAGACGTAACATCAATCCATAAAGTAAATGACTGTTGAACTGAGCTATTTCGGTGGGTGCAGACTGCTTCATTGAGATCCGTTTGATTATCATAAACAATGGTTAGACACTGATGTTTCTCAGAATCGATCTTACTGACACAGATGTATTCACTCTTTGATTCACCTTGAATCTTCAGTTTTAAAATCATCTTTCTCATTTCATCAATTCAT